CTTCATTTCTTTTTAACATGCAAACTCCCAAACTTTTGTAAATGTTGGGCTTCCCTGGCAGAAATTTCTGTTTTGATGAAGAAGCCAGTTTCCGATGAAGAAAATAATCAGATTAACATTTTCCACCAGCTCACATTTTTGGTTTTTTTAAAAGTGGGTGGGCTGGGTTGAAGAGGCTGTCATACTTATCTGGATGCTGCTGTGATGGATACAAAACAATAGAGTTGGAGGGCCCAATTCTGTGATTTCTTGTTCATTCTAGCAATCCTTAGCAGACTAGTAGCCCTGTTAACTTGAATTTGACTACTGGGACATATAAGGATTTACTTACAAAGGAAGGGGTGGGAGGGTGAATTAGTGGTCAAGGCACTGGTCAGAGATGGAGAAGACCTAGGTGTTATCTTTATTTTGATGCATGCTTCCTGCATGACCTTGGGCAAGTCACTCGAGGCAGCATTTTCAACAGTGACATCTAGTTTTGGGTGCCTCATTTTTGGATGGCTGACCTGAGACTTCTGATTTTGAAGAGGCCCGAGCACCTCCTGCTCTTGTTGCTTGACATTTTGGGGATGCAGCAGTTCTGAAAATTGGGCTTGAGTATCCTAAACCAAATCCTCTGATAGCAGACACCACTGGAAGGTTAACACGTGTGCTTAACTTTACTCCTGTGAGCTGTCCCTTTGATTTTACTGGGGCTAACTGCAGCAGCAAGGCTGAGCATGTGCATAAGTGTTCACTGGAGTGGAGCTTTCAGCCTTAATTTCTCTCTGCTTCAGTTACACAACTGCAAAATGGGGATGCTAAAATATCCCTGCCTCATAGGGATGTTGTGGGGATAAACTCATTAGCGTGTGGGTTTTTTTTTTTTGTGAGACACTCAGACACTCCATAGAAAAGACTCTAGGTATTATTTTGGAGCGGGTATTTCATAAAAGTTAAAGCCCACGCTGCATTATGGAGGTAAATAATACAATTAAAAAGAAACCATAGCAGAGGGAGAAAGAAGCTGAGAGGCAGGCAGTGGGGGGAGCATACATAGCCTTTCATCTGAGATTAGAAAATAGATGGGGAGTTGATGTGGTGAAGAGATAAAAGAAGGCTGGTCTAGAGGGCAAGTGCTTCAAAGAAGGCTCTTGCACCAAAGAACAGCAAATTTGTATAGCTCAGTCAACGAATGTGGGACCATAGACCTTGATTCAGGCTGCGATTCAAGCAGCTTCATCTGTTTCCAGTGATTTCCAAGGGTCCTCCCAGGTGTTGAAAATGAGGTGTGGGCTTAAGAGCTTTGCTGAGTCTGGGAGTTACAGAACAAGGGAGAGGGCTGCTTTTTCACACTTTCATGTTGGTTTGAGTAGGAACCCAAGCCCCAGAATCTGAAGAATATGGGCCTGCTCCTTATCCTGTTCAAATACCCACAAATTATTGGGAGTGTAAGGGCTGTTATTTGGGATCGCTCTTGTGAAAGGAAGGGGAGAAAGAGAGGAGGCTGATGCAAAACCCACAGACATTGGTGAGCTTTGGATCAGACTGTGGAAGAGCAAAAGGAAAGGTAGGGATGTGGAGGGAGCGTGAATGAACTCCTACAGAATCAGTACAGGAGACAAACAGAGACTCCCAGTGCAAAAACAGTAGCAGTGCCTCAAAATGCAATAATAGCAGATCTAATCCAATCCATGCACAGCAAAGTGATTTCTGCTACAATACAAGAACAAACATTACTTACATGTGCAATAAACAGTAATCAGGAGTAGTTTGTAGGATGCGTTACGGAAACATCCCATACAATCTGTTCAGCGCTGTTCTTTTTAATTTTCACAGCCAGGTGTGCAAAAGTTTTTTTTTTTTGATTTTTTTTTTAAAGGTAGGCACACAAGGTTCATTCTGCTTGGAAAACGTGTTGGGAGATTTGTGACACAGAAGGTGAAGCAGACTCCGGTCCTCCTAGTTAGTCTTTCTGGGCTTTGTATCTGGCTGCCAGCTGTGGTGTTACAATTTTATCACAAAAAAAAAGAAAAACTATACATAGATTTGTCCATGCCTGGATTTCTTCTGTTAGCATCATTGTTAGTTGGGGAAGGGGTTTGCCCTGGAGTTCCTTATAGGAATTCACTTGCATAGAAATGAAACACCCAGTGTTTTGCCTCCCTTTGGTGGTGTGGATTGTTTAATGGTCCCTTCTCCAAATGATGCTTAATAGTTGACACTTGTAAACTCCCTGAGGCCCTTTAGTTTTCTGTGACAGGTCTTTCCTCTGGATCCTGATGGTATCTCCACCAAGATGGCTACAACAAAGCAACCTCTTGTTTTTGTAATGCGACTTAACCTAATTTGAATTTCTTCACATGGGTGCAGGGTATGGATACTTCCCTACCATAAAAATTCCCCAAAGCCCACAGGCCTTGAGGTATTTCTTCCTTATTGCTAATTTTGCAGCTGTCCGTTACTCAGGGCCAAAAATCTAAGACGGCAGAACCCATTTTGACGTTTAAGTGGCATTTCAATTTTAAAATGCTCTTTTTAGTCAACTGAAAATGTATTGAATTATCAAGGCTGCATTACTTCTCAGAGAATGAGAGTATGTGTTTCTCTTATTTACATTTTGCTGGATGCCCCTGATTTTCTGTAAAGAGCTAAAGTGGGATTGAACAGACTCCGAGGAGGTAGGTTAAAGGACAGAACTTGATAGAAAAAAAATGTGTGCAACTGTCCAAGATATTGTTGTGGACTTTTTTTTGGTATGAAAAATGTTAACAAAAAGGTATTTTTATCCCCCTTTTGTTTGGATGATACCCTTTCCAGTAGAGTTTTAACCCAAGCATTGGTCTAGTTCAAGAAGCCCTGAAAATGAAGTAGACTGGTCTTTTTTTTTTTCAGTGCTTTGAAAACAAATAGGCCAAAGAGGAAAAGTGGTTACTGCTCTTTCCGTTTCAGTGCTCTTTGGCCTCAGCCTGGCAAACACGTAGGCACAGGTTTGTCTTTTAAGCATGCGAATGCTGTTCAAGTGCTTAAAGTTAAGTCTGTGCTTGTAGTTTGCAGGAGTGTGGCCTCAGCTTTTAAGGTAAGAAAACTGGTTGGACATGTGCAATCGCGAATATGGCCCATTTATTCTGATATTAGTTAGTCGGGTATTTTTTTCAGCAGCTAAATTAGAGCCAGGTGTGTCTGTCCTGAGAGGCTCTAAAGCTCCAGTCCTCCAGGCTGTTACCCTCTGGAATAATTGTGGCCCCAAAGCACTTGAGAAGGTGTTTAACTTTCCAATACCAGTGGGAGTCCATCCCCCTTTCAGCAAGGTGCTGCATGTGTTGACCCTTTACTGACAGCACCTGGAGATAACTGCCGTAGGAGCTCCTGGGCATTTCAGCAGTTCGGTTCAGAGGGGTGGTGTGAGTAGAAGGGACCAGGTGTCTGAATCGGCTCTCCAGAGCAGGAGCTAAGGCTAGTGCCTGCTCTGAGGAGACTTGGTTGAAGAGGGGCTGGAGCAGAGTTGGGGCACCAGGAAAAGCTCCTGGGAATGAGCAGACCAAGACGGGCTTGACTCCAGGGCTGACTGTTGCTTGGGGGTCTGGTGTTGGGGTTTCCTTCGAGGCCAGCTACCAAGAAAAGCCTAGGAGCTGGCAGAAGGTGGGAGACCTGAGGAAGCTCCCTGTTCCCAAGGGAGCATGAAGGACTCCACGGCCTCTTTGGACCCCATGTTCTCACCCCTCCTCCTTTGGCCAAATCGTTGCTGGGCTCGAACTCATCAGATGTTGGATAGCTGGGAGGGAAGGGGTGATGCCAGAGAGGTAAGAGTCAGCTCTGTGTTTGAGCAAGGAGGCCAGCACCTCGTGCTACCCATGTGCACTGCTATTTGCATGGAGTTACTCACACATGTGCTCATGGTGCCAGGATTGAAATGCATTAGTTCGGCACACTTGCTGTTACTGGGGTGTTCCTCAGGGAGCATCTGTCTTTCCGAGGGATTATAGCACTTGTGTTGGGCCTTAGCCCTATGCTGGTGCAGCCCTGCAAGGGTTTTTCACTAGACCCATACGAAATGTTTGGCAAAGTCTGGGGGTTGGGAGGTTGTCATTTGGGTTCTTCTGTAGCCTGGTGGGGGAAGAGAGGCCTCCCACAGGGAGCTCGAAGGAGAACAAGGCATTTGGCATAGTCTGTGGGGGAAAGTCCTGTTCATATGGCTATGCAGTGACAGCTGGGTGATGTTCGTTAGCCTGTAGAAGGCCCTTCCAAGTGCTGCTGTCTCCCTTGTGCCCAACTGGGGATGACTGGTGGGCAGCATGGTGGTGGCTGAGGGGTTCCAGACTTGCCCAGATCACAATAAAGGTAGGAGGGGGCAATGTTTCTGTCCTGCAGCATTGCTGCTTTGGGTAGGTAGTGGAGGGGCAGTGGATTCTGTGCCCTCTCCAATCCCTAGGGCATTCCCTATGCAGAACCCCAGGAACTGAGCTTCATGCATCCAAGTATGACCTGGACCCATGGGCCCAATCCTGCATTCATTGCACACTGGTATCTTCTTGGGAGAATGCAGGGTCAGGTTCCCTTAGCGAGTGATGCGACGCTAGGAAATGAACAGTGTTTTGCTTCCTATCAACTTCCTATCTGGGACTTGCCTCGTTATCAACACATACCACTGCTGTGAAAGCTTCAATCTCTTGCAGGGGACGGAGTGAGCAGGAGGGTAACTTGGCTGTGTGTAGCCTTCTAGATTTGTGTGTTGCACGCTTAACTGGAAGGGGCAGCTCCCTCTGAATTCACCCGCACCGTAGGAAAATGAACCTGTAACTGGAACAACGGCAGCGTCTTGCTTGTTTGGTTTCTTTTTTCTTTTTTTTGCTCCTGTTACTCATGGTTTAATGTGAAAGAGAAGGGGATCATGCCTCCAGCTCAGTGGAGTGTGACAGCTAAAAATGCGCGTGTGTGGCTTTGGGGGAACACTTGTGTTTTGGAAGCACCTTTGGTTTTATTTTGTGTTTGGTAACTGTAGGTAAAACAAGCCTTGCGCTGCAGTCAGTTGCTAGTCAGACTGCACAAAAGCTGCTAATTGTCACTCGCCACCTGCACAGACAGACTTCCAAATCAAAGGAGCCGAAAGGCTAGTTAAGCTTCCCGTTCCCTCTCCCCATGGGCTGCAGAGGCAGGTGAGGTCTGCTGAGGCATGCTCATTAAATGTCTCGAGGCGCAGAGAGGATGTCTGGGTGCTGGCAAGTGGGCTTTCCCAGTGAGGGGGTTGTTTGACTACAGGGGTTGCTTTCTCTGGCTAGGCTGACAACCTGGGTGTGTTGATCTGCAGAGCTTGGTGGAAGGCTTGTTCCTGTGCCTGAAATTGGGAGTGGGAAGGAGGTGGAGATGTTGCTAGTAGCTGGAAGTCTTTAATTACTGTATAGTCAGGCTTTGTGGGGGCTTGGGGATGAAATTCCCCATGGCCCTCTGGGCAGGGCATCCTGCAGCATTAGGGCTATAAAGTCTGAATGCAGTTGTACCTTAGGGTTTGGGGCACTGGGTTCATATAGATAAAGACCATCTCCCCAGGCCTTGTGTTTATGCTGATTTAAAATGGAGCTCTGCAGACCCCCGTTTCACTGCACGCAAGGGGTGCCTTTTCTTTTCCTTTGTGTGTCCACTCCCTGGCCTTGCACGGCAGGACTGTGCTGGCTCAGCTGAACAGCCTGCCTTCCAAAGCCTCCACCGTGAAGGGTGAAATTCGCCCAAGGAAATGAAGGATGGGGACAAGACTTTCTCTGTCTTCTAAGGAGCATAGAGTTGAGATGATTCTGGCTAGCAGTGCATGCTTGGAACTGCTTGGTGTGCAAGGGAGATCTTGGTATGGACAAATCCTCTTGGATAACATGAAGCTGCTCAATTCTTTCGACCTTTCTGCTGACCCCGGGTTGCCTGCCTCTGCTCCTCTCGCTCATTTACTTCACTGAACCTTGCTCTGCTTGCCTTCCTCAGGTGCCAAGTCCAGGAAAACAAGAGAAGCACTCTGTAGAAAGGTGTTGTTCGCTCTGGTGCAGGGAAGAGAGCTGGTGATCTGGCAGGGAAGATTGCCCTACCTCCGGATACCACTCCCTTGTGGAGGTTGCTTCACATCCGTGACCAAGCCCAGAGGCAGCTGAGTGTCAGTGATGGGCAAAGTAAGCCCCGTTCTCCCCCTTTACCTACCTAATAGGAATATTTTGGGGGCTTAATGTTTATAAGGGAGCACTGGATCCTTGAGTGGAAGGCACTGCTCACTCCAGCCCTTCTGTGGGGGCATGTGACATTCAAGCAGTGTGCTGTTACGATGTTCCTCTGGAGTGCTTGAGAGGAGAGGCTTTCTCAACTTATCGCCTGTATATATTTCCATCTCAGAGATGGGAGACACTATCTGTCATAATGTCCTATGTTGGCCCAAAGTTAATGGGTGCATTTGCTTGAGTATGTAAAATGTAATCTAAAGGCTACCGGGGTCCAGGAGTCAGCTGAGCAAATCCTGAGCCTTCTCACAAGTCCAGCTTATCTGGGTGGGAATACTGCATTATCTGACTCCCTGCTCTTTGGCTCTGGGTTTCCAGGCTCTGCGCGACTCCATCTATTCTCTCCCTCTTCTGCTGACTGCAGTAACATTGCTTGCAGGTGACCAGCCAGGAAAGCATGGGTGGGCCAAATCCTGAAGTTTCTACTGATCTGGAGTGCATCCATCGCTGGGAGACCAGCATAAAGACTAGGCTGTCCTTGTCTTTCCACTGCTCTGTGGCTGAGAGGCTCACTGTCACTGAAGGTATGATTGCCACGTGGGTAAATGTTTTAATTTTATTTTTGGATAATAGTGCAGTCAAGTGAACAGGGGCTGGGAAGCACAGTTTGGATAGGTGGGAGGCTTTGCTTTCCTGGGTGACAGGCAGGGGAGTGGGAAGGGGTGGGTAATGTTTTCAAGTTTTGGGGAGCTGTTCAGGGCATCTCTTGCCTCATATCCTGGAGGTTGTCTTAATTTTCATTGTAAGCCAACCCCCCTACCTCACCAGAAGGCAGTGTGTAAGTCTAATGAATAAAATCAAACTGAGCAGTAACACTGGCTTCAGTGCAGGCTGTACGAGGCTGCTCAGGACCCTGGGCATTCAGGGCATGGATATCAGCTGCCCATCATAAGTCAAGCTGACAGATCTGTCTACTGGTGCCATACTGGCAGAGCTACCTGGCAGCGTAGCTGCAGCCCAAGTTTTGGTTTCATAATGTGGGGAAGAATAGGATCCTTTTATTTTTGCTTGGACTGCTGGTGCTCCTTGCAGTCTGTCCCACACCATGACAGCTCCCATGCAGATTTTTTTTCCTTCCAAAGCACAAAATGACTTCAGTTTGTTTGAGTGGGTGAAACCAGCTGTGTAAACAATGCACCAAATGGAACTGGCCCTCAAGCACTGCACTAAGTCCAAGGGAAGGGATTTCACAGCAGCCAGGATGTGCTTTGGCCCCATGATTCAATCTGGGGGGATGGTGGATTTGGAGATCTGCTTTAGCTCAGGCTGTCATTGGGAACATTACTTACCTGTGCTGCTCAGTCTCTACCCCAAAAAACAGAGATGATGTTTGCCCTCCTCCTCAAAGTGCTTTGAGATTGTTGGGTGAAAGAGGATGCTGAACTAAGAATTTTTAAGGCTTATAAACCTTGGTCATTTTCTGGACGTCTGAACATAGGGGCTTAATGGGAAATGTAACACTAGCCACAAAGTGGCTAATTCTCTTTTTTTTTTTTTTTTTAGTGCACATATTGCTTTAAAATAGGGGCTGGACTCTGGGTGCCATTTTTGATGCTGCCACTGTCTTGCTGCATGATTTTGGGATGGTCTCCCAACCCCGTGCCTCTGGTTCATGTCTGTAGAGTGAACCGAACTTGACTTCCTTTAGGTTTAACTCTCAAATAGTCCAAGCTTATTTGGGTATACACATAATAAGGCTCCCTGGACTTATTGAATTGCTCTTTGGATGTAGAAGTCCACCTCTGCAGAACTCAGTGCAGGATCCAGGACTTCAAAGATCCTCAGGTGAGAGATGCTGGAGAGGCCTGGATCTCCAAATGCAAGGAGACTTCCATTGTCTGAAGCAGTTCAGAAGTGCAAGAGGTCAGGCAATGATGGTGAAAAGGAAGAGGTGCTGGATTGCACCGCTCCGTCACATAAGGAATGTGCCCCCTGCCATGGCTAACGGAGAGGTTGCAGTGGCATTGTTAACCACAAGAGCACAGTCAGCATCTCCTTGATCTTGTTTACACTCCGGGTAGCTAATATAATAATTAATATACTAGCTCCACATGTGGCTGTCCTGTTGGAGTTTGGAAAGAGCAGGGCTTATACTGGCTGCAGGGTGGATTCTTCTCCTAGTCCCTGGTCTGTGGTGTTTATTCCCTGTAGGATACAAATCATTTTTGCTTGGGCATAGTAATTCAGAACTTTAATCCTCCAGTATAAAGGTTACACTGGGAGGGAGGGGCAGGGAGGAACTGCAATATTTTAGTTAACACCCATGAAAGCTATAAACCTGTTTCAGAGAGGTGGGAATCTGTCTAACCCATTATAAATGTTCTTGTAGTAATTTCTTTTGGAAGTGCTATCCTTTGTGTCTTCACAACAACGGCAAATAGTGCCAGGATGCTTCATGTGCCTGTGTGTCATTTCCCGTGTTTGGGGGAGGCAGCCTCTTTCTTACTTGAGTAACCTTCTGCTCTCCCCGGAGCCAGTGTGACACTTATGCTACAGGATTGGACCCAGAACACCACTTTCTGCATTTTTGTGGAGGCTCTGGCAGCAGTCAGCCTATTCATTTAAACCATTTCTTTTTGGATACATTTTAGCCAAGCTCGAAGTGTTGCTAATGGTGGCATCCCTTTACTTGCCAGCTTTAAAAGGGTTAAAAGTCATATTTGGTCCTATCCCTGCCTCCCGAATTTACCACCCACCTCTCATGGGGCTCCAGTAGCATCTCTCTACTTGTTTAAATGTTTCATTCCCTGCTGCTGTGTGAAAGACCTGCATGAGCAGCAGTAGAGCCAGGCCTGCCGGCACGTGCAGGTGACTTGCTGTAGGCATGTGCAGCCCCGCTGACCTCGTGAGAGCAGGAGTCCGGTGCCATAGACTGATCCTGCACTTCGGCCCAACAGCATCGCGGGCTCTGCACAAAGCACCGTGTGCAGCTGATGGCAAACGCACCGGAGGAGCAGAAACAGGTTTGTCTGAGCAGCAGGGAAAACGTGTCCAGCCAGAATTGAATTGGCAATATCTTTCTTAACTCTAAACACTAAAATCCAGTTACCTTTTTCACAGTTTTGAGAACCGTGGTCTGAGAAACTGACCTGTTCTTTGGAGCAACCTTATTTCTGACGTAGCGCCACTCATTGACGGACTTGCACCAGGGAGGAATGCTGTCCCCTAATCTTTCTGTAATTACAAGCAAGGATTAGTTTATGTTAAACTGCAGTTTCTCTTTAAGCCTCAAAATGCCCCAGGCTTGGTAAACACCCAGTTACTTAACAGTGGAGGAAACTGAGGTACAGGTGTTAGAGTTTGCAATTCTGTGTGTGTGTGGAGGCAATCTGGCCACTGTAGACCTGGTGCTTCAATTGGGACAGCTTTCAGTAGGCGCTGAAACCTGTGGGTTATTGTTACCTCTGAAAATTAGACTTGGATTGTTGCAAGACGGTGCTTAAAATTAGTGAATGTTTGGCTGGAGAAATCTGAATGAGCGTTAAGCAGTAGTAACTGGGCTGGGAATAGGACTTAAGAGCCCTGGGCAAAGTTACCTGTCCTGTCTTATATGGGATGCTGAACCTGGCCCCTTAACGCTATCTATCCCCTGACCTGAGACAGGGCAGGTGGGGAAGCTGGGATAATGATTGGCAGGACAACTTTTGAAAAACATTTGAGCTTCTGGAAAGTTGCCCTTATCTCTGGAATGGACATAGAGTGATTATTCCTTGGTGTTACTCCTTTCTTTTGCCAAAGCCTGTGGGAATGGCATGAGGATGAGGTTCCCCGGGGGAAGAAAGGGTTTTTGGGTTTGGTTTTTGTTTTGTTTTTTAAATCTCCTACACCTTGGGGGCCCTCTGCCCCTTGCAGCCCTGCTTACACTGGCCAGAGGGAGGAAGGGACTGGCTGAACCATTCATCAGGCAGTGTGGCATAATGGATAGGGTGCCTTGGACTAGTGTGTGGAGACCTGGATATAGTCCAAGCTCTGCCAATGATCTGCTGTGATCCTTGGAAAACCACTATGAAGTGTGATTGCAATTCCAATTGCAACAGTGACTTGGGCTGGGCCCACATCACAAGCTCCTGTAAACTATCAAGTTGGTGGCTCTTTGGTCATCACCAGCATTATGTTTTAAACTTGTAGAACTGGAGTCTGTCTTCTCCAGGTAGATGCTGGTGCGACCCAGTTAGGACAGAGGGAGGGAACCACCAAAGAAGAGGCACTGCATTAACGTAATCATGAAGGTCTAGTAGCTGCAGCTTCCCTGGTGTGGACCTTGTTGCTTAGCCTAAGGAAATGGAGGTATCTGCATTGATCTAGTGGTTGTGTACCGCTCAGTGGATCCTGCTCACAATCTTGGGGCTGGTTTCAGTCTTGAGGATCATGTCCCTTTTCCCTTCACCCTTGGAGGGCACTGACTTTGCTAGTTACCACACTTGGCTGCACGCTTCAAACTGGCCGTTGTGTTTGGATGATTCCTCTGCCAGGAAGTGCACGCGAGTTACTGTGGGCTTCCCTGATGCTCTCTTTGCATTGCCAAGTATCTGCAACTCAAATTGGAGCTGGTTTTTAGGACACAGGGTCCTAAACTGAGGGTTCAGAGACCAGCTAGGGGCAACTGCTGAGTCTTCTTGTCTGTGAAATGGGCATAATGCTTCATTGTCCCACCAGGCGTGGTGAGGCCCAGTGCATTATTTGTGAAGCACTTTGAAAAACCTTCACAGGGACCTGCCCCCCACAAGTGCACATGCTGACTGTATCTAAATTCCTGATGCTATCAGCATGTGCCATGCAAACACCTGGAACGGGTGTCTGCATGCTGCTTGTCTTGCCCACTGTGCCGTTGTCTGAAACTTGCTTTCCCATATGTCAAAGCCACAGGCAGGTAGCAGAACCTGGCATCAATCATCCTGTAGCAATGCCCACATCAAAGGGATGTAAAGCAGTGAGCGCAGCTGCAAGAAACCATTGAGACTTGTATCACGTGGATGCAGTTTTTTTTTTCTTCTAGCAAAGTTTTTTTTTTTTCTTTCTTCTTTTTAAATGTAGAAGGGAACTCTTGTGCTTGTTAGGGGTTACTCCAGGCGTAGCTTTGGACCCGTGGCCTTCCTCTTCTGTTTGGTTCTTCTACCTGCTGCTATGGCAGCAGGAAAACATTTCTCTTAAAGGCAACAACTATCCTTTCAAAGATTCGTGTTGGCTGGATCGGATATACATAAGTTTGATGTCACTGAAAATTAATTGTAAGACTCCTTGCAGCTTGTCTCTGGAAAGGGTTTCATTTTAATAAAGCAGTTGGATTCAAGCCGTGGTAAACTGGGAGATGGGAGTCTTTGAACTGCTTTTTAAGATAGTGGTGCAGTCCATCTGGATGACACCAGTGTTTGCAGAGTCTCCAGATTTTTTTTCTCCTTGGAACACCAAAGACTTGTCTGTAGTGATACTTGGGTTAGGGCCCTCGGCATCTGTTTGAAGAGTCATTTCACAAATGGTTAAATGAACTTTAAGTCCCTGTTAACTGGTAGTTGAGTTCTGCAGG